TTTTATTTGTTTTAAACCTGCTGCCCATTACTTTCATTTGGTGGCCCCTAGTTCTTATGTTATGGGAACAAGTAAATAACTTTTCCTTATTCACTTTCTCCATACCACTCATGATTTTATATACTTCTATCATATCCGCCCTTAGTCTCCTCTTTTCCAAGGTGAAAAGTCCTAGCCTCTTTAATCTCTCCTCATATGGGACCCATTCCAAACCCCTAATTATTTTAGTTGCCCTTCTCTAAAGGTGGTCCAATAAAACCTATTACCTCACCCACCTTGTCTCTCTAATATCCTGGGACTGACACGGCTACAACTACACTGTGTATTTCCACTGAAGTCATTCCAACACCTTTAAAAGTCAAATCATAAAGCAAAGATATATTGGCTCATTATGACTTTGAAAACAGTACAAGTATTAAAAAATTATATATGTGCACTTAAAACTTAAGAAAAAATGTAAGATATTGTTTTATTCAACAAATAGAAAGTGATCATGTGATTAAAGACTGTTTCATAACAGATGTGCAAGAGGGGACAGAGTTACCTTTTCACATGCAACCTTAACATTGGGATTTCATAATTTCTGAGTAATTAACTATGTAATTGTAACATTCTCTTAACATTTTAAAAATTGGATTAACAAACAATTCTGCAACAAACCCATAAAACTAGTCAAAGAAGTCAGTCCGCATCAAAAAGTTTAATGGAATACCCATTGTCAACTTCACCATTCTTCTGTCTGAATTTTTTTTTTAGACTACTATTGTTAGAATATCTAAGATTAGTGTGACAGAGTTTCAAGAAATAATTCTCCCCATTTTTCAGTTTATTTTGTGCATAATCAGTTTCCCTTGTTCATTTGAATCTTTCCCCGCAACAATGGACAGAAAAAACATTTAAACAGGAAAATGTGATTGCAAGTCACACAAAAAATGACCAAGGGACTCGGTAACAAACTAATACCTGAAATTAGCTTTAGCTAAGAATTTTAATTTTTTTTAGTGTGTATTGTATTTTAGAATAGAGATGGTCTCATAACCCACCTTACATAGAAAAGAAAAGTACCTTAAGGCTGTGAAATTCAAAGGGTATTAAGGGAAATTCAATGGAAGCTGGGTGTGTGATTCCCTAGGTCTCCCTGAACATCCCAGCCATAGTGTATGTTTGCTATCTTTCATTGCAACATTGGAAGTGGAAATATGGAGGAGCTAGTACTATGTGACCAATCTGCTCTCTGAACACCATCAGCAGTCCATGCATCTCAGCTTGAGAACTTCTGTTCTTATTCGTTGTTTAAAAAAAAATTGATTAGATTTCAAGTTGACAGTATCCTTTCTAAAACAAAGTTGGTATTTCTATGCCAAACCTTTTTCTAATTTTAATTTGATTCAAGATATGAGCGCATCCCATTTGTTGCCCCTTATCTCCCAAATACCTTTTAGAATCCTATCACAGGATTTGTTTGTGAAATTTCAAGTAGATTGGTTTAGGTAGAGCGAATTTAGTGACTGTATGGATGACAAGAGTCAAGCTTTGAATGGAGGACTAGCTTCAGGCTTCGAATTGAAGATTAGTTTCAGTGTTAACTAATATAATCCCCTAATAAACAATCTGGGTCCAGATCTAATGCATCCAAGGATGCTGAGGGAGTTGGCTGATATGACTTCAGAGCCATTGGCCATTATCTTTGAAAATTCGTGGTGATCGGGGGAGGTCCCAGACAATTGGAAAAAGACAAATATAGTGCTCATATTTTAAAAAGGGAAGAAAGAGAACCTGGGGAACTACAGACCAGTCAGCCTCACTTCAGTCCCCGGCAAAATTATGGAGCAGGTCCTCAAGGAATCCATTTTGAAGCACTTGGAGGAGAGGAAGGTGATCAGGACAGTCAACATGGATTCACCAAGGGCAAGTCATGCCTGACCAACTTGATTGCCTTTTATGATGAGATAACTGGCTCTGTGGATATGGGGAAAGTGGTGGATGTGATATATCTTTACTTTAGCAAAGCTTTTGATACGGTCTTCCACAGTATTCTTGCCAGCAAGTTAAAAAAGTATGGATTGGATGAATGGACTATAAGGTGGATAGAAAGCTGGCTAGATTGTCAGACTCAACAGGTAGTGATCAACGGCTCGATGTCTAGTTGGCAGCCAGTATCAAGCGGAGTGCCCCAAGGGTCAGTCCTGGGGCCGGTTTTGTTCAACATCTTTATTAATGATCTGGATGATGGGATTAATTGAACTCTCAGCAAGTTCACAGATGATACTAAACTGGGGAGAGAGGTAGATATGTTGGAGGGTAGCGATAGGGTCAAGAGTGACCTAGACAAATTGGAGGATTGGGCCAAAAGAAATTTGATGAGGTTCAACAAGGATAAGTGCAGAGTCCTGCACTTAGGAAGGAAGAATCCCATGCACCACTACAGGCTGGGGACCGACTGGCTAAGCAGCAATTCTGCAGAAAAGGACCTAGGGATTACAGTGGATGAGAAGCTGGATATAAGTCAGCAGTGTGCCCTCATTGCCAAGAAGGCCAACGGCATATTGGGCTGTATTAGTAGGAGCATTGCCAGCAGATTGAGGGAAGTGGTTATTCCCCTCTATTCAACACTGGTGAGCCCGCACCTGGAGTGTTGCGTCCAGTTTTGGTCCCCCCACTACAGAAGGGATGTGGACAAATTGGAAAGAGTCCAGCGGAAGGCAATGAAAAAGTTATTAAGGGGTTGGGGCACATGACTTAGGAGGGGAGGCTGAGGGAACTGGGCTTATTTAGTCTGTAGAAGAGAAGAGTGAGGCAGGGTTCCAAAGAGGATGGAGCTAGGCTGTTCTCAGTGATGGCAGATGACAGAACAAGAAGCAATCATCTCAAGTTGCAGTGAGGGAGGTCTAGGTTGGATATTAGGAAACACTATTTCACTAGGACGGTGGTGAAGCACTGGAATGGGTTACCTAAGGAGGTGGTGGAATCTCCCTCCTTAGAGGTTTTTAAGGCCCGCCTTGACAAAGCCTTGGCTGGGATGATTTAATTGGTGTTGGTCCTGCGTTGAGCAGTGGATTGGACTAGATGACCTCCTGAGGTCTCTTCCAACCCTAATAGTCTATGATTCTATGACTCCATGAATTGTTTGCTTAATTAAGTTCAATAGAATCAAAATTCAGCCTAACCTGGATAAACACTGGCAACTTGTCAGGTCATGCCTAATTTGAATATGATAAGGCAGATAGCAAGTACTCTTGTTTTTAACGAGAAGGCATAGCATTTAGAGAAGATGATTGTCATATCTTACTTTTAATCTAGTTCATTACATTTTCTTTTAGCTTCTTATTTAAGCTACACAAAATTTTCTAGCCATAGGTACTCAGATCTCCTGGTCCAGCTTTCATCTCAGGATCTCAACACTTTACAAATGTTAAATTACATAACACCGTTCTAAAGTAGGTAAACATTATTATCTTTATTTGGCAGAAAAATACACTTATACAAAGAGATTAGCAGCAGAGTCTGCAGGAATGCTGACTGAGGCTGTGTCCACCTCACATGAGGTATGTTTACACTGCAATAAAACACCCATGGCTGGCCTGTCAGCTGACTCAGGCTCATGGGACCCAACTTGTGGGGCTATAACATTGCAATGTAGATACAGGCTTGGGCTGGAGCCTGGGATCTGAGACCCTCCCCATTTGCGGGGCCTCAAAGCCCAGGCTCCAGCACAAGCACAAACATCTACACTGCAATGTTATAACCCCACTGCCCGAATCAGCTGACATGGGCCAGCTGCAGGTTTTGTATTGCTGTGTGGACGTACCCTTAGGCACTGATCCAGCAGGATTCTTAAGCAAGTGCCTAACTTTAAACACAAGAAATCCTACTGAAGTCAGTGTCATGACTCACATGCCTAAAGTTAAACAAATGCTAAAAAACCTTGCTGAATTAGGGCCACAGCAGAATTTGTGTGGACCAAACTAAGTGAACCATAGGGGGTATTAGCAGCTAATCAACCTCTACCTACATGGTAATGCCCCAGAGTTTCCTAGGTAATTCTCTAAAGATTAAGAGATGCTTCTGCCCCTTTTCTCAGGAGAGAAGCACTTCAGCAGGAAGTGTCTTCCTGGTTCCTGATGAATATTTACACAACTGAAGACCCTGAATTGGGGGAGGCAGGCAGGCATTCCCAGAAATTTGCCCCCTGAGTTCCCAGATGGTAGAGACACCAGCTCCCTGACATCCCGTGAAGACTTGCACTACTTAAACTGAGTATTAACTCCTGTTTACCAGTTAGGGGAGCTTCTACCTCATGGTGATGCTAGACTGCCATTCTGAGCGGCAGATCCTTTCACTAAGAAAGCTGGATGTATTGAATTCAACTGGTGAAGCATTGTGCCAACACAAGATTCATGAATAATCCGCACTACAATGATTTTAATGGCAATTGTTGTACGTAAAGAAGTCAACAGTCACCAACAGTTACCACACTGTAGTACCTGGAATCTGACAGTATGTCCCTGGTTTTAGAACATGAAATAATTTCTGCATTTCAGATATTGTGGTGTGGTATCTATTGACTGTTTAAGGGCTAACAGGTGCAAGAGATTACCACACTATCAGCATCCCATAGGGGGCGATAAAGTCCACAAGCACTTTTAGCTATTAAGCAGTCTGCTCAAAGTATGCAACCAACCCTTTGCAATGATTCATAACCAGGCTGATGCCCACTTCACGAACACGCTTCAATTTGAAAACTACCAATGTTTGTTTTTCAAGTATATTTCATTTGTCCCTTGAACATTTAGCCCTGGAACAAATATCAAAGACTGCTAATTCTAATTGTTCCCAGTAAAACTTTGGCAACCCCTCTAGCCCTTCAGCTTTTGGACACTGTATGGAGCCACTATACATATATTGTTTGCCCTTAGAAACTAGTGTGAGGGGACAGTATTTGAGATGTGAAAGGATGCAGAAAACTGAATTCAATCCAATTCACAAGCAGAGCTCTTTACCTGTTTATACCTTCCTTGGTGTAGAATACCATATAGGTGAGGTTGTCTCCATGAGGATCTGATGCTGGTGTCCGCCACGTGAGTTTGATGAAGCGAGTAGAGACGAGGGAGGCCACGACATCCCGAGGAGCCGAAGGCAATGGTCCAGTTGTAGCTGGTGCTAGATGGTCAGTAGTGGCACTGGTCAGTGAAGTGGGAGGTAATGTTGGGATGGCAACATCTTGTCATGTGCAAACATTGGGGAATATGAAGGGCAAACATCACGACGGTTTAAAAAAAGAAAACAGAAAAAAAAACAAAAGAAATAAACAAAACCACGATGGGAAACAAAACAAAATGAACACACACACAAAAGGCCATTAAACTGAAGGCTGACATGCAGGCAAAAGGTAACTACTGAAAACTAATGGGAAATATTAAAGGACACATCACTGTAGAGCAAGCAGACCAAATCTCCATTGTAATGGAAGTGGCAAGGGAAGGGGAAGGGTGAGAATTGAGGAAAAATATCACCTCATAAGAGGACACATCAGTGCCCAACAATATTTTTCATTTTTTGTAAGAAATAAAAAAAAAAAAAATCAACTTTCGTTTGCTATTCAATAGTACAGTCAAACCTGATTTTCTATTTTACTTTGTTAAAATGTGGTATTAATTTGTACTAGACTCAGTTATAAAACGTATTCTTTGGATTATACAAATCTCATTGAAGAGGCACTGCAAGGTTATTCAGTTCTGATGGGCAAATTATGAAGTAGGTTAGCAGAGTTCCAGTCACCTATCAAACTATAGTGTCACCTACCTGGTGCATAGTACCATGTAACTGGCATCTGAAGGAGTTTGGGGTGTAATACAGTCACTACATCTGATGCAGTGATATTCTTCCTATGAAATTTAGACAGGTGCTCCTATCTTCCACCCAAATCAGGTATTTCTCTCCAACAACTAGTTACTTCTCATTGTTTATTGATTTTTTTAATGAGAATTTTAAAGGGTATTAACAGAACCACACCTAATATTGCTTCACGAGATGAAGAATGCTATGTAAACTTTGTTGTCGAATGTCTTGTATGTCATCATATATGACGCCTCTATATTAATGCTGAGACAAATCCCTTGGATTAATATATTAAAAAGTGGTAAACTGTAATCTGATGCATGTTAATAGCAGCAGCTACTGTATATAAATAGTTTTATGCTAAATCCCATTAAGGCAATCCATGCAAACCTCCACTAAATCTAGTGCTAATATTCCGTGTAGGAGAAGCCCAGTTACATGCAGTACTATAGACTGTGCATGCAACAACTCTGATTGCTAAGGTCACCTGACATTTTCCATTACAAGATTTTTTTTTCAGTTGCTTACAACTTTATTAAAAACTTAAACCATTCAGGTTGACATGTTTTTGGAAATGTCATCTAAAACGGTTCAGCCATTTCCAAAAATGTGGTTAGGGAACAATACATGTTTTTAACACTCTTACAAACATTTTGTTGAGAAGTCATAGTGCCTCCATGATCTGGAGCAGCAACTTGACATTTTAGGATGTGGATTCTAAACTCAGGTGTCTAGAGTCAAAAAGTCCAAATCATTAACTGTCCACTTTCTAAGCTGTGTCATAATACTAAAATAATAGCAAGGTATTATTGTTCCTTTATAGTTTTTCTGAAAATTATTTTGTACTTTGTTTTACATTAACCATGTGTAAGCCTAATCATCATGTCCTAAATATTACTGATGTAAAATCTGAATGAGCACTAGTTGAACAGTCTGACAATCATTGTGATTGCTTAGATAATGGAACTGTTTTTGACCTTCTTGGAAATCAGGATTAAATTGGTATTTACAATAAGCTAAAAACATCTTTGATGCATGCTATGTAGCTTGCATCACATTTCAGGCTTTACATTAAACTTTAGACACTTTAGTAGAGGCTCTGGTGTGAATTATTAAAATTCGGAGTTTGCCTCACTCTTTTGCCGATGGTACACATATGCTATTAAATTTTTTTTATGCAGTTATGATATCAATAGGAAGAAAGAGGAAGTGACTGATTGTTGTGCACTAGAGGCATAGAGGGACAACTGCAGTATTGGTGGATGATAAGCACCTCTGTCATGAGTGGCAAGGACACAGACACATCCACAGAATAAAATAATGTTACAGTTGCATGAACGACAAACAAGACAGCAAATCAGCGCAGACACTGAAAGACAGGGCTATTGACAGTGTTACTAAAAGAACCTTCATTTTAAATTCCAAATATGAAAACTGTCAACAAAATATCCTCTCAGTCTTGACCAAGCAGAATTCTCTGATCTCATAGTTTCCATTTCTCAAACAACTGACACCAATGGCTAAAGCAATATATACAATACACTTACAACCATGCTTATAGTTTAGTTTATGCTTCGTATCACTTTCATATTGCAGGTTCAGTCCTTAAAAAAACAAAACAAAACCAAGAACAACTCATCATGTTTTTACAGTGCTAGAAGTGATATTCATTGACTGATAGCCTAGAATATTTGCTTTTATCAGACCTACAGAATATGATGAGAACTACTTAATATGAAACAATCACGCACACGATGCTTCAAAGACCTGTTTTTTTATTGGTTAAAGGACCACAGCAAATAAGTCTCCATCTCTCTTCTATCTTCTCCTTTGATTGAGACATTGCATTCCCTCCACTGACTGGGCCTTAACTCCGCCCCACATATCACATATGCCAATCTACCACCATAACTACCACTATATCACCACTATAACTGCCACATAGTCCACATCTTCTGAAATCCGCCCCCCCCCTTTTTAAAAGCTCCTCTCTGACCTTGTTTACATTGGCAATGTTTGGGAAGAGTGTAGGTGAAGCCATCATGACCACTAAATTCCAGTGACACGGATATTATTGCTGGGATACTGTGATCAGAGTCTATTTACTTTAAGAAGAGTAATTTTCAGAGATTGTCTAAGGCGCCCAGAACCTGGGATAGGTGTGTTTTTGCTGTAGAGCAGTAGAAACTGAAATACAACAGACTAATAATCCCTCCAAATACCAGCATGTACAGAATGCCATTGACTCTTCTCAGACAAAGTATGTAGTGCAGTCAGCATTCCCATCTTCAAACAACTCCACTAGGTTCTCATCCATTTCAGAATCCAATCCAAGTTTTTTCCCCCTTATATCTTTATGGATTTCTTACAGACATCTGGTCCTTGTTCTTGGGCCAAATAAGAGCTGCAGCAACCCAGGAGAGATGTGGGTGTATGTGGCCTTATGCTGCTTCGCCTAGTACTCCTAGGTGTATGGGAGGTACCAAAGGATAAAGGGGGCAAAGCACGAGAATAGCATTCATCAAAGTGCTTAAGTGCATGCTTAACCTTAAGCATATTCATAGTCCCATTTAAGTCAGTGGAGCTCCTCTGAAGCTCATATTTAAGCACCTGTCTCACTGGACTGTGTCCCTAATCACTGACACCCTTTATGTTCCCTCAACACAATCTTGCTATTGTGGATAAAAATGTGGTAGCCTTCTATATAGCTCCTGTAATCATGAATAATCTCCCAGCATAGCTGAAGACTCTCATTTTTAATTCCAGTTGAAAAACCTATCTTTCCCCTGCAGATTTTATTTCCTTTCCTTCTATTCTTATCTGTTACTTCATTATTTAATTCCATTAAGTACTTTGGGATTCAGTTTGTGTGAAGAGTGCTATACAAATATCAAGTTGCATTGTACTGCATAGAAGCCATGTCAGGCAGCCATTCGTCTTCTGAAGTGGTAACTTCTGGTCCATCCCTGAAAGATGACTGCTCCACTGCTACAGGGTAGCATTTTCATAAGCACTTAACTGTGTTTGGAACCTAAATTCCATTCCAGGGGGACTTAGGCCCCTAACTCAGTTAGGCACTTTTGAAAATTTTACCCACATAATTCCACATAGCATCAATTTCATTGGCTTAACACTCAAAGAAAGTTAATCATAGCCACTCTTTTAGTTGCTCAGCCTAATTCCAGGAAGAATGAGAGAAACAAATATCTGTTATGAATTTAAAAAGAAAAAAAATTAAACTAAGTAGCAAATCTTTTTCCACAATAGCAGTTCTCCCTCCTAAAATCCAACACTTCTTGACATTCTAATGTCAAAATATGCATCTTCAGATTACATTAGATTAATGTTTTGGTTCATGTATGATGTCTTGGTAATAGTGTCAGGTGATTTATTTAAATTATAAGCTCTTTGGGGCAGGGAACATGTCTTATCTATCTTTGCAAATCACCCATGTTAATTAAAAGAGTTATATAAAGGTTTTTAAATAACTGAACCCAAAGTACCTGATGAAATCTGCCCATAAAAAATAGCTCTAATGAATTTTTTTAAAATTCATGTTTAATTTAAAACACGATCCACTTATTAATATATTAATCTCTACATATAATGAAACACTCCCATCATTTGCTTGAAGTAATCTGTATACTGTATTTGAGGAACCTGTAGGCATCAAGCCGAAGCATCTGGGAGAGCTGCCAAAGTTTCCCAGATTAACAAAAACTCAGTTGTGTCCTTGTGTAAGACCAGAGACTGGAAATACTTCTCCTGACTGCATTGTAGGTAGATCACGCCAACACAACAAAAACCAGCGGGGTATGAAAAATAAACCATGAACCAAATAAATGCATGAAGGACGTGTAAATTGTACATGTAAGGTAAGCAAGGAATAGGCAAGCAAACTCACCCATGGGAAGCAGCAATTAAATATCAAGTTGGTAACAAATTGGTATTGTTGATAGCTATGGTATCCATTTAGAAGACTAGGTTATTTCCTTCTTCCCTTCAGCCCCCCACTCTTTTTCGAAATGCCTCGAATGCCATTACAAACAGATTTGTGAGCACAATGCTCAGTAGTGCACAGCTATGTCAATGAATAATTACACTAAAATTAGTTTAATGACAATAAAGGAACCACTTTATTATCTCAAACTTTTAAGCACAGTTTAACAAGGTATTTGTGAAACAAGTCTTTACATACATTTCATCATTTTTTCATTCCTCTGGAACATTCCTTAAATTGCTATTTCTGGGTAGTTTGTATTAATCTCAATTTTTTTTAGCAGCATGTCAAAGCTGCAAGTGATTTGTTAAGAACATGGATAAAGAATCATGTTCCACAATGCCAGAAAGATAAACAACAGAACAATCTTCTCAACTATTGC